TCACTTTTACCCTGCTCTATATTTTCAAAGTTGCACATTTTTTTACCATTGCTATGTGCGACATCATCACTATGTTTCCTTTTTTTAGATCTCCGTTTTCTGTTCTTGGATTCAACCACATCTATTGTCTTGTTTGCAGCGCCACCATCAGTTTGTTCCCCACCATATTTTTCAAAATTTTCAATGCTAAATGAAACACCTTCCACTTTGGCATGTTTGACTTCTTTGTCTGCTTGCTTCAATCCCCCTGCACAATTGCCATAATTATCTTCACATGGCACTTGATCCCCTTCATTGGATTTGTTTTCTTCTTTTAGTCTCAATAATGCATCTTCAGGCATGCTCTCACCATCAACTTTTCTCCACCTCTGAAGATTACAATTCTTCAATTTCTTAACATGGCAATTTAAAACAATGTTAGCCTTATCCTTGGTACGCCTGCTAACAACAAGCTGTCTCCTGAGGGTATATCCAGCCTCATTGCGTTGAACCGCAGGTCGTTTACAAGAGCCTAGGTAAGTATCAGGCTTGTTCCTAGGAAAAGGTTGAACCAAGTTTTAGTGAGTCAGGCATGTAATTTACATCATTTACAAACAAAATTGAAATCCACTTCTCTCACCTTCTTGAATTCATAATACTGCATATTGCTTGTGTTTTTCTTGCATATAATAGACGTGCATCCTTTGAACACCATATTTTAGATAAAGGCCGCAAGTCATCCTTCCCAACAATCTGATGGAACAAAAGTAATGTTAAAACAACAATGCAGATAAGTTTAGCATTTGGAGTGTCAGTAGTAGCAGTTAACTATTGGCAAAGAGGAAATGGAGAATGAAAATGTGGATACAAATTTAAACAGCACTATGATACATGCATTGTTTTGCTGAAGCTGAGATAAGCTTACCTTCTCAGGCAGCATTACTCCATCTGGTAGCCTTGGAATGTGAGGATGAAATGGAGGGTATTTGTAGAAGACAGATCTAGGATATCAGTAAATAGGGGTAGAGTGAGTACTACATATAAAGAACATAACATTTGCAAACCTGTTTAAACCCTGCTACAGAACTTACATAACGTCATTCTGTGCTATCATCTTCAAGTCTGCAATTGGGGAATATATTTCCATAGGCCGCACAGGTCTATCAGAAATGTAAAAGTAACCATTCATCCCTCCACTGCATTAATGATAATAACATCCAATGAGCAAAACAATTTCACATGCCTAAATTAAGGGCAAATAGATTCCAACAAATACCCACATAAACTACTGTTGAAAAAACTCCGACAAAATTTGTGCCCAAACAAAAAAGAAAAAAAAAAAAACACTCCGAGGAAAGAATTTCAAATTTAGGTTTGTTTCTGGAAAATTGCAATAACTTTTGGAACCAAAAAAGTGATGTTCCAATAACTTTTTGGATCAAAACGAAAATAGGCATCAACTTACCAAATTTTGAATAAATGTGCTTCAGTTTTTCCAAAATTTCAAAACAAAAAAGGTAAAAGCAAAATTTTCAAAGATAAGAAACAGGAAGTAGATTGATAGAATGTGTATTATACTACTGTCTTTCAACTCCCTTTTTATGTCTTGAGTCTTTCAAAATTCAGAGTACTAAGAGATTGGTCTATATCTGAACCCATTATGATGCAGCAAAAAGCAGAAAAAGTTTTATGAATATGCTCCAGATTCCCATAACCTCAGTACTTCTCTTCCTCCAAATTATTTAAAAGAAAATAGGAGAAAAGAAAAATATAATGAGGACTTAGTCTTTTAAGTTTCAACAGTAAGATATTTCATTCTGTCTAACCACAAAAGAACTTATCTCCTTACATTTGCATTTTTTATCATTTACATAACTGATCTCAAACCCAGATAAAAGACTTGTGGCCAGTTAACAACCAGCTTAAAACTAAAAAATAAAAAATAAAAATGTATTATTCAGTCTAAACTGCACAAAATGTGCAGTTCAGGCTGTCAGATTACCAAAGTACAATTAATGAATCTTCTCCCTATATTAAATCATTAAGGTTACTCTGTTCATTTCCCCATTTGTGCAGTCCAGACTGAAAAACTGGGAACTCAAACTGTATAATCAGATCATCCTTAAACATGAATCGCTTAGATTTGGTCCATTATCCAAATAGTGATGCATTAAAACTGAACTTCAGGTGTAATAAAAAATGGATGATTGATGACTAAAATGTTCCAAAAAGATAACACTGACCAGCAACCATCTAATTGGATTGGAGGTGAGCCAAATAAAAGTAAATCAAAATAATAATAATAATGATGATGAAAAGTGCACCTTAATGCTGGGTCAATTTTCTGTTTAATTTCAGTGTCATTCAATTTTGAAGTATCCATGGCTCGTTCACATATATAATTGATCTCTGCTGCTAATGGATGTGAAACATGGACAAAAAGCACATCCAATCCTGGCGTGTTTCTCTTTCTATCTTCATCCTGGTTAAAGATTAGAAGATGCACAAATAAGATTCCTTCATTTTGGTCCAAAAAAATTGTAGTTGCATGAAATACATTGTAATATGACTTTGATGATTACTCTTGCAGGCAAATAACAAGGAAATTTGTACAATAAAAGTGTCAACGATCAAGATCTAAGGAGTATAATTAGACAAATATATTTGTAATTAAAAGATATAATAGTGTTCTGGAGTCAATAGGTCGCATCTTGCACCAAAGACTTTGGTCTATCTTACGATAGAATTGACTCTTACCGAAAGAGTGCTTTCAACTTTTGCAATCTCAGAAAGAAGACGGGACTCCTCAATAAATGGCAGCTTAATAACAGCCTGTAAACCCAAACAAAAGTCTGTAAATGAAATAAAATAAAAAATTAAGAATCCACAATTTTACCATTTCTTTATCAGCAAAAGATAAATTTATTCACTCATTGACAGTATAAGATCACAATTTTATCATTTTATAGTGATCAAATATGACAAACTACTCTAGCACCTTCATTTTTCCCAGATATAAAAGTTTCAGCTTCAGAATATTAAGGACAAAAATGGAACAATAAGGATTAAGAGAGAAGGATGGAGATGGTGATCTACAGTTGTATATTTGAATACAGGTATGCATATGTACATGGTTGTACATCTATATGAAATTAATTATTCAACTGGCTGCTTAGCATCTCTACTTTACATCAAACATTTTAGCATAGTCAGGTAGCTTCAAGTATCCCAGTGAAAGCAATCAAAACAAGACAACCTTTTGGGCTCTATAATTCATTTTCTCATTTCCTTGCATGGTAGAAAGGGAAACAAGGGTCTGGGAAAGTGGGGAGCAGTGATAGAGGACTATCAACCAAGTATAGACATTCTAGATATAGGGACAACTGTGTAGAACGATACCCTTTCTTTTCTAGTAAGCCTGAAGGTATAATTATTTCTCATTTCATCGCTATATTAGAAATGGAGACCCAGGGGTTGGGGGAGTGGGGAGCAGTGCGAGAGCATTATCAACCAAGGATATACACTTAAGATAGATGGACAACTGTGTGGAACAATACCCTTTCTTTTCTAGTAAGCCTTAAAGTTTGTAACTAACATATTGCAACATATCTACCCACATCAATTCATTAGCAATCAGAAGCATCACAATTCTGCACATTCATTGCAAGTGAATGGAAAAAAAGAAAGAGACAGAATCTGATATATTTCTAGGATATAATACAAGCACTTCAAAAAATGAAATGAAAGTGGAGTCAACCACTACCTGCCAAGCAAAACGTTTTCCTTCCATATCAACTTCAAAATCTGCAAACATTTCATGATAAGACACTTATTAAGACAAGTTAAGACAAGTCATGATAACAACATCTGTTTCAAGTACTTATAAAAATCTTACCTGTAGGATAAAAATCCAATATTGGTGAGCATGAATCAGTCATCAATTTCCTGTAAGCCATAGGAAGAGCATGTGCACTGGATGTGCACATGCCAGGTCAAACCCTAAGCAAAACTTTTTACCGCAAACACTAGTAGAGATTTTGGCCCAAAATAAATAAATAAATAAATAATTTAGATAAACTAGTTAGATTAAAAACCTAGCAGCAGGCAAGACACCCAACAACTGATCAAAAGGTTTGAAGGGCTCCCCAAGTGTAAACTGGATTTCTAACTGATCAATACTGACAAAATCTGAAGCAAACGGAGCATAGTGGTAGGGATAAAACCTGCAAATCAAAATTTTTAGGATTATTTGATAGTTTCAGTCCAGATATTCAAAATTTACTACATATTTTCAATTTTGATGATTTTTCAAGGCAATATCTATATTTTCCTTTTGATCAGTATTATGAAACATATCTATGTTTCAGAGACCAAATACTATTTACTGGCATAAGTACTGAAAATCTTGCTTACTCAAGGACTAACAAGAGACTGACAGAACCGAGCCCAATATCAATATGAATGAGTTAGTGGTAATGAGTTACTGTAATGATTCAAGTTGATGCCTCACTACTAGTGGTAATGAGTTAGTGTAGTGATTCAAGTTTGTGCAATGGTAATAAAAACACTCAAGTTAACTTTTAGTATGAGTTAGTGCATTATTCAAGTAAGTGCCTCAAGTAAGATTTTAATATGAGTCAGCAAACCTGTTTTAAGTCAATGCCTCATCACCAGCCATAGTAGTAGTAGCAGTATTAGTGAGAATCGCTAACTATTTGATCGTTCATCATTTTATGATCATAAGAGAATAGTTAGAAATTAGTTAATCTTATAAATAAAAAAATTATTTTCTTTTATTAAAAAAAAAATGGCCACATACCACTGCCAGGAGCATACTTCTTGGTAGTAATAACGCATAACCCAGCAAATCCCTTCTACATATTTAAAAGCCTACATATGTAACAGAAGTATGAGATGTAGAAAACTGAAAATATACCTCATTATAATGAAACATATGTAGCAAACAGATTAACCAACTAGTTAAATTTAAAATTAACAGCATAAATATGGAAAAGAAACAACTAAGTAGCCCGAAAGGACTTTAGAAACAAGCTAATGCCTCGTTTATACAATAGATTGAAATATGGATATAACTCATTTCAAAGGAGTAATAAGTCATTGCAATACAACTGAGAGAACATAAATTACAAATATGTAAACTCACTGCATCTTTCTTAGTTCTCTCACAGTCATCTATTGTTTTGGCTTCAAACTTTTCAACATAAAAACGCTCTCTCCAATTGAGGGTATCTAGTTTAATCTGCAATGAATTGAAAAAAGAAATTAAAGAAAAAGGCCCATCAAAATATTAGAAACACCAAGTCATTCATATACAGAAAGATTCAAAAGGATAAGTTAAGAAACCTTATTAGTTACCTTATTTCTGCCACTAGATTTACATCTGAATGAGGGCTGCTTCAACAAGAAACAAAGTGCAAATATTCAGATCCTAAACCAAATTTCTAATTTTCTCTGAAACATGAAACTGAATTACTGAAATGATGAACACAAGGTAACTCACATTTTCTCCATTTCCCATGATTTCAAGGGTCTTAGAAGAAGAATAGATGTTTCCAGATTTTGTCTCTCGCTCATCAGATGGAAATCTTGAGCCATTACACCCAAGTTTACAACTTTTAGTGGGTCTCTTTCTTTTCTTAACCTGATAAGACCATTAAAACAAACCACATCAACAGCCAAGTCAATAAACAAGCATCATTCATCAAAGTAGATTCAGCTAGGATTCCTACAATACAGAAAAATTACCAGGGAAAGAACTATTAGAGATCAAGGAAAATCATCTAGCTCTTTAACAGAAAACTTATAGCAACTGGTCCAAAGGCAAGTCCTTGAACATACAAGTAGAAACAACTCAAAAGATCAAAGCATTGACTAACGGTTGGATACCTTGGCATGAGTTCTCTGTGCAATTATTTTTTGTTCAAAAGCCCCAACAGAATGTAAGAAGTGCTCTACACGTTCCAAATTCACCTATCAATTGTATGAAATAAGAAATTTAGGCAAAGATGAGCTATAACAAAATATACAAGGGAAACCTAGCAAACAAACATAGCAAACAAACATAGAACAATACAGTTGTATGCATAGAAATATAAATTACCTCAAAAGAATTAGTTAGGTAACCACCCCTTTTAACAAATTCATCTTTGTAAATCATCAGCAGCAGGTTGATAGCTCCCTGACAAAATAGTACCAGAAAAACAATCAATGATAACCTACTATTGAGACACAAATGAAGTGAAGGTTGATATGGAGGTTAAGAATATGTCTAATTCCTACATAATTAGTCAAACCAAAGAAAAAGAACATGAAGATCAACCAGATATCAGCATTCAACATGGCAAGCAGAAAAACAAGTCATACAGAAGAACATAGAAGTGTTTAAGACTTGGAAACCAACTGACTTCAATAAGGTTAAACAAAGTAAATTGCATTTCCATCTCAGCGCAAGATATCAGAAATCAAAATATGCACTGCCTTTTTAATGTCTAGATGTGATCTACCAACATAAAAACTATTAAAATGTAAATTATAAAATATAAAAATTTCAACTAATATATAAATATAATGCAAACATGATATGAAATCACACAAAATATATATAATATTTTGAAAATAGATTACTGGTTAAAGCTGACTTGGTCAATGTGTCACAACTATTCAAGATAATGAATAATTTCAAATATCCAACCTCAGAAATCTCAAGTGATGGTAATTGGGGTAAAAAATCATTTCCGACAAACAAGCAAATGAAGACAAAATCATCTACAAAACGCTCCAGATCCCCCTTAACTGCTTGATCCGGGATTTCCATATCATGCTTTAAATATTCCCGCAGAACCCATATGTTGAGAAACTGCAACAAGTAAATTAGCATCCCAGGATGTCAGAACATTGGATATTTAGACAAAATTTAAAACTGCTCTAATTGAAACTCATTTCAAATCAACATTATAGAGTGCATGATCGATAGATGTAAACATAAACACCATATTGAATTCAAAAAGGATGTCATCAAGGTTAATACTTCTAGTAAATGAACCAACTAAATAGTAAATAGTGATTGACATGCATTTACGGATGTATGTGAAGGTACCACACAGCGGTCAAATGCTTAAACTCACACATGAATGTTCATGAATTTACAAACATATAGTGACTATCAAACTCTCCATTGACAGGTGCTAACCGTGCAAGGAACAACAAAAGTGCTTAAAAAAGCAAGATTAAATATCAAGAAAGGCAGGAATTTGGTCCTTCTTTGACTTAAGATGCATTTAGGACCTTCCAGGGGATAAGAGCAATTTTCATTATTACCACAAATGGAATGAGAAACATGTTTTTTTATCTTATTTTGACCATTAATATGAATTAATAAATAAATAGAGCATAGCTTCACGTATCTTTTTCAATGATATTAATGGAAACTTGCCTGGAAATTTTAAGTAATTTCTCATCAACTAAAGATACCACAAATCCAGTACAGAGATGCAGCAACTCTACTTTGGTGATGCCATAGAAGAAGATGAAAATTTTAACTAATTTCTCATCAACCATGGCATCACATTGCCAATTCAAAGGCAAAGAAACTTTCTTTACATGACAAAAATAGTTAAAAGAAGTAGATGCAGAACCTTTAATTTTCCACCTATCCATACACTCAGATGAAAAAAAAAAATCATTTTCATGTATCTTTGAAATTGACCTTTTGCAAAGCAAGAAGTAAATGGTGAACATTAAGAAACTAAAGCAATATAGATAGATCATTGACTGATTACCCTCCGTGATCATTACGCTGCTTGGATGCAACCTGGTACCTTTATTAAATACTCACCATTATACAATTTAAATTTGGTTGAGTCCATTAAACAAGCAGTGAACACTGAATTAAATTGTGGCTTCTTTACTATAGAAAACAATAGAACATTAATGAAATAGAACAAACAGAATAAGATCAATAACCTGAAATTTCAACTTCATAATATAGTTGTCTAGAAGCTCAGAAGGCTTTGGTATATCCTCTGGAGCACCCCTCTTCCTTTTCTGATTAATCAGTCTTCTCCCATACTTCCTATTTTGTTTATTCAGGCGGCCATCCTAAAAAACAAAATGAAAATATGACAAGAAAGAATACTTAAATATCCTCCTCTTTTCTTTCCTATTCATTGCAATATAAACATTGCATCAAAGCAATTAAAATTTAGGCGACGGAAACACAGAATTCATAATGTACTAACCTCTCTTAAAATTGAGAAATTGACCTCATGCGTAGCCAACGCAAGCATAATTAGATCAGCATCCTAACATATCGTATATCATTAATATGGTATTGAAGGCTGGCAACTGCATGCAGAATTATAGAAAAAAAGTCAAAGACATTTACCAATCCATACATGCAGTGCCAAGTGTTTGGATCATATCCCAGCAAGTTCCTCTGCAAGCGGATGAAAGACATAATCTTATGCTCTCCCTCACCAGGTACAGTAGCATCAGAAAGAATGACCTAAACAAATATGATTAAGATGGGGAAAGATATAGAATGTGAGGAACCAAAAGATGGACAAGACAATCTAGGATCTTCCAGGCCTACCTTTATTCCCTTCCAACCTGAATCCTCATTCATCCTCAGATGTATGTAATAACGGAGAGCTGATGATAATAATTCCATAAATTCAGTTCCAGGCGTGATTACATTGGAGTCCATCACATTGGAATCCATCTCAGATTGCTCAAGTGGGCCTGGTTTTTCCTCTTCTGATTCCAAAGTAATACCCTGGAACAATCACATATTCCCCAGTTACAAGACAGATATGGGATCTCAAGAAGACCACCAACATTATGGCATTAGTGTCAATACTAATCTAGTTTAGTTGAACGAGTTTAACAAATTAACTCACTTCTGCTGCCTCTGCTGCTTCTTTAGCAGCTTTAAAACGTCTTGCCCTTTGTTGGTTCATCTTAGCTCGAGGAGCAACACCGTCAATCGCCATAAACAAAAGCTTTCGAGGCCTAACTATGGAGAAAATTTTGTCAATATAATTGAACATCGCCTCAAAAACCTTGTCATAAGTAGTCGGAGCAGGCTGCAAACACAGAGTTGATGCAATGGTATGAATAAAGCGGAGTAATTTACAACTAACACCGAAAGTGAACTCACAACTTAAATCAATTAACTTACTAATCCCTCGGGGTGGAAACAGGGATGGATGATGCCGTTCATGTCAAGGTAGAGATTATCATACTCGACGCCGTTGGGGTTCGGACCGGTGACGTCCACGGGAACCCCAACGCCATTAACGAAGACAGGATGGTCCTCCACTGCCTTCAGCACGCATTTTGGATACCTATCCACCAACCATCTGTAAAATGCCGGAATACCCATCACCGCTTCAGACCATTCAAAAGTACTACTAAAGAAAGAAAGTATAAGGCGGCAAGTGGATGGTGATACGAGCGAGGGTTCTGCAGCCAGAGACGATAATGAGTAGGCGATAGCGGCGGCGAACTGGTT